TCTTGGCAAGTGTGTTAGCAGTCTGTATAATTGGCGTGTGAGAATTGATGAGTATGCGCATTCCTAGCTGGGCAGAAGAGACCCACTGGCACATCGACATTACAGAGTGTTCAGGGCATTGCTGTCCAAACCTGTGCTATTGTCGCTTCCACGCATTGAGGAATTTCAGTCTGCATGTTAAAACTCATTTGCTTTGTTTTGGTTTTTCATATTGAGGGCTTTAAGTAAATAAATATTCCTTCACAATTCAACTAATGGTGTATTTCTCAACATAGAAAAATTAGATACAAATAACAAATAAGGGTTATGAATTTATACTATACCTGGTATGTCTTTTAAATTTTAATTTCTGTAGGGTTCATTTTGTATGTGCACACTTGTTGAAAATTAACCAGAGAATATGTATTGAGTAAGAGAAAAATGATTTCACTCTTTGGGGTCTCCTAAAATGTCAGGTGGAAAGTCCTTAGCGATGGACAATGGATGTCTTCCCACGCAAAGATTCGAAGCTGTTATTGGATTGTGAGACAGTCATCCCACTGTGTTTCCCAGCCGTGCCATGCTCCCACTAAGAGAATGACTTCCTTCTGCTGCTCTTCCCTCAGACACCCCATGCACCCCTGCTCTTTGGTATGACCTGATGTCTTTAGCCTTCTCTTTGACTTGTTCAGTGAGAAGTGGAACTCCACAGGGAGAGGGTAGTCCTTGCCATTGACCAATCAGCAGCCAACCGCCTTCCTGCATCTCAGTGTGTGCATCCATTTCTTTTCTACCACATGTGTGTGTGCACGTATTTGGGTGTGTGTATGTGTGCACGTGCATGCGTGTGCACGTGTGTGTGTGTGCGTGTGTGTGTGTGTTCCTGCTCTGTTCCTTGTAGTGGCAATTCACTCGTGTTTTAATAAATAAAATTTGCCTGAGGATCAGAACACAGCCACACTGGCCAGCCTTATAGACCAGGCAGCAATGACACACACCTTTAATCCTGGTAGACACACTAGCTTGCCAGAGAAACCAGGTGGTAGTGGTACATGCCTTTAATCCCAGAACTAGAAAGGATTATAAGACAGGAGGAGACAGCTCTCAGACACAGTATCATTCTGAGATTCCTGGAGGCAGGATCGCCATTTCAGATTGAGGTAGAAATAAGAGCCAGTGACTGGCTGTTTTGCTTTTCTGACCTTCAGGTAAACCCCAATATCTATTTCTGAGTCTTTATTAATCGTGCATCAATTCCTTCTCCATTGGTCCTGGAATCTACTTGTGGACATAGCAGACATGGGTACTGGCATGTCTTTCTGTCTCCACACAAGAACTTGGCTCTGTCAAGCATCCTCTCTTCTCTCACGCTACTGTCTACCTCCCACTAACACCTGCAAAACTCCTCGTCTCTTACTGTACTCTTGCAGTAATTGATCTCGATTCCTCTTCCTGTTCTGTGAGACAACATCCTAACAAAGGCAACAGAAGGGAATAAAAGTGTGTTGTGACTCACAGGTCAAGGCACAGCCCATCACAGTGGGGAGTTGAGGTAGTCAAAGCGTGAAAGTGCTGGTCAGATCTCATCCACAGCCAAAAACCAGAGAGCTCTGCATGTATGCTAGCTCTCCCTTTTATACAGCCCAAGATCCCTGTTCAGGGTATGGCCTGCTTACTAAGGGGTGTCCTCCCATACCATTACCCTAGCCAAAATACCTGCCCACACGTGTTCCCAGAGGCCCATTGGCCATGTGACTCTAATTCTGTCAAACTGAAAATTTAACCATTACTAGTACACTTCTGCGATGCTGCACTTCCGCGTCTTTCCCAGGCCTTGCCTCAATGTCAAGAAGTTCGCTACTTCCCTGTAGAATGAACTCCCCCAATACGGTTGTCAGAGCTCACCTTGTCAGCTCGCTCATGCTCCACCCAACCCTCTTGTCCACCTCCTCATAACAGCAGTGTGTCATGGGTACCCCACCCTGCATCTCTTCCTGGCGGTGCCATTGTACAACTCAGCTTGCCAAAAGCAGAGTTTCACTCCTGGTCCATAGTCGCCAGCACACTTGGCACAGGTGATCAGCCCTTCTTCCTTTAAGCTTTCCTTCCCTGGCACCTAGTCTGAACGTTTTTTAGCTTTTCTTCCCCTCCTGAGCCCACATTATAGGTGATTCCTGGCTCAGGCTGTAGCCCTCTTCCGGACTTGCCTTCTCTGCCCTCAATCACTAGCTAATTTCACAAGTCTCAGCCTGAAAAGCCATATCTCCATTGATTCACCATTTCTACCCAGTTATCACAGATCTGGATCACTCCCTGATAACCCGTGGCCCCCTCAGTGCCTCTCAGGAATGATGCTACCAGTCAGTCCGCTGTCCAGGCTGAAAAGAGTAGCATTGCCCTTGACTTCCTTAAATTCTACCGACAACACACTCCTGACTGGGGGGCAAAGTATTTCCCTACCTTCATCATTACTGCTGAAACAAACAACCATTGTCACCTTGTACCTTATTGTCCCAGCAGCAGTGCCTGCATCTCTGCTCTTCTCCACTCTTCCCATTCCCACCCGATGGTCCTTTTACGTTTTCAATCACCATTCCATTCTCTTTAACAAACACTTTGCTGCATTTGGGCGGAGAGTCTTAACCTTTCCTGGGACTTTAGACTGTCACTTAGGAGGAAGTCCTGTTTACTCTCCATCTTCTGCTCCAGTCACACTGGCCTTTCAGCTAACCTGTTCATACAGTCAGAGCTTCCTATTCTCCCAGATTTCCTTTTGTTTTCTGCCTCCATTGCTCTTCACAGACACCCTCATGGCTGTCTCTCACGTTCCCATAAGGTCTCGGCTCAAATATCACCTAAATATATGTCCTTCCAACCATCTTCCTACCGAATCTAAAACGTAATCAAATCAGTAAAGTTGTATACTCTGTAGTCCAGTGTGCATTCATCTCTAATGCTGCTACTGATGTGGGATTCCCCTCTGTATGCTGTGAATACCATTGGTTAATAAAGGACTGCTTTGGCCCTATAGCAGGGTAGAGCAGAGATAGATGGGGAAAACTAAACTGAATTCTGGGAGAAAGAAGGAGGAGTCAGGGAGAAGCCATGTAGCCCTGCCAGAGACAGATGCTGGACCTTTAGCCAGTAAGCCACAGCCACATGGTAATACACAGATGAATAGAAATGGGTTAAATTAATATGTAAGAGTTAGCCAATAAGAAGCTAGAGCTAATGGGCCAAACACTGTTTTAAACAATATAGTTTCTGTGTGATTATTTGTGGCTAAGTGGCTGGGAATTATCTAGCAGCCTCCTTCAACGTGCTATGGCTGTGTTTTGTTTTATCTTCATTTATTTATGGTTTGGCAGGAGGCCCACATACCTGGAAGTCGGAGGGCAGCTTAGATGTGACAGTTCTTTCCTTCAACACATGGTTCTGAGGATCGAGCTCAGGTCTTCAGGCTCAGCAGCAAGTGTCTCTCCTCACCTCACTGGCCTCCTGTGTTGCATTCTCCAGGCTTCTCATCATTGAGTATCCCTTCCTGCATCTTCTTCTTACCTAATCTCTCCATTTACACGTAAGCTCCACAGGGGTTTCACCAGCACTGCTCTCCCTCCATGGGAAGAACCCTACTTAACCCAGAGCAGAGCCTCCATGAATGTGTATTAAACAAGTGAATGAATTATTGATGAACTCAAAGCCCTTACTGAAGATTGATGAAACATGTAATCTAATTCTTCCCTTCTCATCATTGCCCATTCATTAGCCTCATGTTCACAGGCAGGGTCTCCCACACTGTAGAGCACAGAAAATCCACAGACTTTACAAGGATACACACACACACACACACACACACCACACACAAACATATATATGTATGTATTTTAATGTTTAAAGTGGACCCTGATACTTCATTTGTTTTCATTATAGTAATAACATTATATTACTACAATGTTAGTAAACAACATTAAATAACATGAATTAATAAATAATATTATAGTCGTAATTAAATTACGCCAAGGGAAGGTTAGCTCAAATGTGGCAATAGCCGTGATGATGAAGATGGTGATGACAATGTCAATGATGAAAATAACAATAACAAGTAATAATTCCTGGAATCAAAAGTAAGATACTCTGTTTTGTACCTACAGAGAAAAATATCCCTGAATTAAAGATAAGAAAACACAGACTCAGAGTCATAGCATGATCTCCCAGAAGCCTCAGAGCTCTGTTTAATCTGCTTTTGAGTCTGTGACAACTTCTGTAGCAAATGATATGATCAATTCATTCAAATTCTAATTGTTGGGGAAATTAAGTAATCATAATAACCCTGTAAAAAGTCATAATTTTTTTATAGAAAAGACTTCATTTTTACTTATTACTGCTGTGCCCCAAAGAAACTTTCCAATGAATTCTCTTGATGTTTGAATGATGTGGGGCCTTGTGAAAATCTTTCAGGCTCAGGTGGAGGGGTACACTAAGAAGGGAGTTTATTTTTGTATTTTCTTGGGAAGACTCAAAACCAGAATGTGTCATCATTACAGATAAACACAACATTAGCAAACCCCTTACCCTGGGAAGGGAAGTAATGAAGCCCACTGTATCCCGTTAGTGTTAGTGCTACAGCCAAGGGGACCACTGGTAACATGAAGACCCAGGTAGCTTCAGCGCCCAGTCTGCTTAGAAAGGGGTTAAATTAAAGGTGCTTGATGTTTGCTTCACCAGATTTTCTTTATGCTGTCAATTAGACAAACAGAAGAAAGTGTGTGGGAACAGCTCGGTGCTCTGTCTTCTTGAAGCTTGGGGGCTGGCTTTTAAGTCGGACGTGCTGACGTCACTGCGGAGATGAACAGGGTGGAAGCACAGCGCTTCAGGAATGAAAATGTTAAATTAAATGGACCGTGTTTAACGTCGCTGTTGATCCCGAGGAACAGTTTTCCAGTGTGCGGAACATTTCCACTCCACCCAGCATATGTCCCCCACAGTTTGCTGTGCTCTAATTCATCTGTGTTTCCCGACAGCTCCAGATGGCCCGCTGTCTCCCAGGCTTGCAGCTGCCACTCCAACCCGTCTTCAGGTTGTCTGGCCTACACCAGCTCGCAACAACGCTCCGGGCTCTCCCACAGACCAGCTCCAGATGAGGCCAGGCCCCTCCACCCACAGCTTTCTAGAGTGAGCATATTCCCACCTAGTGCCTCTTCCTGTGGGCCGCCTTAAACAGTGTCTGCATGGCTTAAATGTTCTCAGAAAAATGAGACCCAGAGGATGGGTCAGTTCTTATGTGCAACAAACTTTGGGTGTCTTTTAAAAGTTCGAACAAAGTAGAACATGAACAAACAATTAAGTGGATATACATTTGCTCTACGAAATAAAAATGTAGTGTTTGTTTATATAGCATGGAAAGTAAGATTTTTTTTTTTTTGCATTCCTTAAGGCTTGCATGAGTACAAGTGTCATACACTGGAAGTGACCTGGAACTGGTAAACTGGGCTGAACTGCAAAGATCCTTCCACAACTGCCCGGCACTGTCCTCATAGCAGAGGCTGTCCTTGCAACCAGAATTTGTGTTTTCTGTAAACACAAGACAACAAATTCTTCCCAATGGTTTCTCATTCTGAAGTAGATACAATGTGATAATTTTACTTAAATCTATGTTGGTGTTGCTGAATGCTCTTTGCAGTATGATTTCACTGATTTTTGTGTCTTTGTTTTATTTATTTGCATGTTTAAGCCTGCACAATGGGCATTTCTTTCTCACATAGATTTTTTTTTTCCCCAATCCTTCTGCATCGTTAAGCTATGAAGTGAGTGATCTCCAGCCGTTCACAGTATATGAGCTCCGCTCAGTTGCCACCGATGGCTTTGGCAGCAAACACAGTGCTTGGACTCCACTCATGACTGCAGAGGACAGTAAGTAGGCCAGCTACCCAAAGTCAACATCAGCTACAACAGGGATCCTTAGCTGCCTTATGTTTCCCGAAACAGGGAAATAAACCCCTCCAAATTTCTTGTCACAGAGTGGCAGAATCTCCTCCAGGGTAAGAGGGTCAGCCGTGGTCAGTCTGTACAGAAGAAAGAAAATTATGTACCCAGGAGGATGGAGGGTGGGACCCAGAGACAGAAAGAAGGAAATGTCACAGTTATGGCATGGCAGTGGTCTTGTCCTTCAGGACACAGGATACTCTAAAAAGGGAAGGTCTTCCGCACTTTGGCCAAGTGTGACATGCTTTGGGGGACTCCTGGAAGGCAGACAGGGATGAAATGTTGGGTTGCAGCATGATAGAGAGGGTTAGCTACGCTTATGGCTGGAAGCAGGCACCACCCTACTTGGTATATGTACCAAATGTAGCCCCCAGAATAGATGGGTGGGTAGATGATGGGGTGTAGAAAATTAGAGCTAGATTCAACTGCCTTATTCAACTAACAAAGAATCCTTTGCTTTTTTTTCATTGAAAATAAAAATTGAAATTAGTTACATTTGAGAAATTAACATGTAGTAGCTATAGCATTTGTTTTTAAATTAACTACCTCTGCCAAAGCAAACATATCAAGACAAAGGTATAATTTTTTGCCTGTTTGATTTCAGTAAGGTTGGCAATGAGATCAAAGTAATATGGGAAGAAGACATGATGTTTGAACAATGAGCTTTGGGGGTTAATCCTGTAGAGTCTTCTCATCACAGACGTCTAAGGAGTTGTTGCTCGGTGCACATTAGCCGGCCTGGTTTTATAGCCAACAAGCACAGGAGTGACCTTCAAAACAGCTAACCATCAATACAAAGGTATAATATTTAAAACAATACGAGCTCTGTATTAAGTAGATTATTTTACCTTCCAATATCCATAATGACTTTAAGTACTTAGTGGTAAGACATAAAATGGAACTGAATCAACACAGTTCTCCATCTTTAAAGTTCAGTTTATTTTTTAAAATGCCATTCTGAACAATATAAATACTTCCCCCGTTCCCTCCCATTCTTCATTACCGTGGGAAGCAAGCTAGATAATTCATGTGGGTGCATCAAATGCTTTTGTCCCAGGGTGCCACTCCAAACACTTCCAGCACAGAGGGGATATGCACCCCAGATTCAGGAGCCATCAGCGTGTAATCTTCAGGTAGAGCACTGCACACACCCCGGGAAATCAGACTCTGTAGTCGCCAGTGTGGTATTCAGGTTTATGGACTGGAAAGCTCACATTCAAAATAGATTTTTTTTTTCAAAAGACATTTTAAAAATGAAGATAGATGTTTAATCACCTTTTAAAAAAATTACCATGCTTGATGTCACTCAATAAAGATTAAGTAAAACTAACTATTCAGTCCTCTGCAGAGGTGATGGCTCAATTGAGCGCCACGTAGGTAGAAGGGGAAAAGGGCCCCCCTCCTTTATTCCTTAGTGTATTCTCCACAGTAATCTGCCCACGGTCCTTACTGAATGGTGGGTGGCCATGCTGTGCTGTCCCCAGGTAGGGAAGTAGTGCCAAAGCCTGTCAAAATCACTACATGTTGTTTGTAAGTCCAGCACTCTGTGTTGATCAAATCGGCTTCCCATCGCCTCTTATTATAAGACTAGCCTTGTAGATTGTGGGTGGTTAGAATTTTTATGCAGGAACCCTGCCATCTTGGTACCATGTGGAATTAGTGCTTCGTTTTGCATCTCCCTTAAGAACAAGTGATATTTGATCCTCTAACAGGTGTCAACTCAGGACTCCAGCCATCATGGCTGTGTGAACACTTGCGTGAGATGGATGGAAAGTTTCTCCCCTCTCTGCACACACACTAAGTCACACACCTCAGCAAAGAGCTGGAAGGTGGCCGTAGGCCGCTGCAAGGCAGTTCCCATTGTACATGGTGACAGTGTGCTATATATTTGGATGTCAGTGCAGATGGATACTATCTCTCAAAGGAAGTGCAATCGAGGTGACAATGGCCGAATGATTGGCACTGGGCACAAGCAGTTTTTCTGTCAAGGCTACAAAGCATGGCTTAGAAAGCTACCCACGCTGACAGATCCATGCCAGAATCGCACTTCAGCCTTGGCGCCTCCTGTTTGCTGGAGTGGCTATCAGTGGAGATGCTTCCCATTCCGTCTCACAGAATGAGACAGAGAAGTCTTTTGGTGCCCATCCTTGAATTCCCTGCCATCAGCAGGAGCCTCTTTAGTCACAGACACAATTCTACCTGTTGTACCATAGGTCACCCAAGGCAGTATGCTTCATGTGGTATTTTGAGGCAATGATATTTATCAATACTATAGCAGGGCTGTGAAACCAGAAAGGAAGACACGCACAAGAGTGACCTTCCTCACTGAGATTATGTTAGACCCAAGAGCACATGATCAAATGGTAAGGGTGAAGCTTCCACTGAATGAGTGAAATTTTGACATTATTAGAAATAACTGTGACCAGATACTAAGATGCTAGAGCAACCACACATCTTTTGTATTTTCACGGGCGTGTGCCATATGTGAATGTAGAGACTGTAGCTTTGGGGATCATGTATCTTTGAACCTCTGGTTATACAGGCTTAGCATCTTCTGCCTGTGAAACACCTGAAACCAGAGAAATATAGGCAGTGATGATCTTCACCCTCTAACGTCAGTTCTAGGGTGTGAAGAAAAGCTCTCCTGTATGAAAACTGCAAGGCACTAAATGCATTTTTTCAATTAATTTGTCATTTACATCAGAAGGCCACCAATATCCTGTCCCATGAATTTATAAAAATCTAGGGTGCAGATGACAAATAATAATAATGCAGCCTTCCCTTGAATATTTTAAATCCCATAAAACATGTGTTAATAAAAGATGTTCATTGCAGCCAACTTGGTCAATGTGGTGTTCAAGCACCTGTGGCCAGATAAATACAAACAACATACGGATTTTTTTTAATGTGTTAGTGGCAGGCCAAGCAGCCGACATGTCTACAGCTTACAAAGCTATATAGTGATTACATTAGACTCAGATGAATATACTTAATATAGTAGGAAGAAGAAAGGCACCTAGCAGCTGAAAATATTTTCTAGTCATTTTATTTCTATGTATGTGTATTTGTGTGATAATCTGATGGAGGAAGGTCATTGGCTAATAAAGGAACTGCCCTGGCCCATTTTATTGGTTAGAGGATAGGTGGGAGGAGTAAACAGAACAGAACGCTGGGAGGAAGAGGAAGTGAGCTCAGAGTCTCGACAGCTCTCTCCTCTGAGGAGCAGACGCCTGAGAAAGACGCCATGCTCCTGGCTCCTGGGCAGATGCACACTATGAAGCTCCGACCCAGGATGGACTAGGCTAGAATCTTCCCGGTAAGACCGGTTCTCACAGATTATTAGAGATGGGTTGATCGGGATAACAGAATTAGCCAGTAAGGGCTAGGGCTAAAGGGCCAAGCAGTGATTAAAAGAATACAGTGTCCGTGTAATTATTTTGGGTAAAGCTAGCCTTAGGGGTGGCCGGGTGCTGGGGATGCAGCCCCGTCCTTTATTACTACAATAATCTGTGTGTTGGCAAGAATGTGTATGAGTGTATGTGTGAATCTGTATATTTATGAGTGTGTGTGTGTGTGTTTACAGGTGAGTGTGGGTGTATTTATGGGTGTAAGAGTGTGAATCTGTGTGTTGGCAAGCATGTGTATGGGTGTGAATCTGTATGTTTATGAGTAGGGCGTTGGTATGTGTGTGTATTTGTGGGTATGTGGGTATATTTATGGGTGTAGGAGTGTGAATCTGTGTGTTGGCAAGCATGTGTATGGGTTGTGTGTATAAATCTGTGGATTTGTAAGCATGGATATGTGTGTGTGTATGTGTGTGCTATATACAATGCAGAGGTCAGAGTGTGGGTGTCATTCCTTGGGAGATGCTGGCCACCCCTCTTTTGTCACTGTCTCTCATTAGCCTGGAACTTGGTGAGTAGGCTATGGTCAGGCCAGGAAGCCTCCACCTGTCTCTGCCTCCCTGCACTAAAATTATAACCATGTGGCACGACACCCAGATTTTATCCTACAGGATTGAGCATCAAACTGAAGTCCTTGTTCTTGAGAAGAAAGCCATCTCCCCAACCCATAGTGTTGATATTTTCTAAGCCATACCGTGGTTTCCCCCTTGGGACTGCAGTTATTCTACAGCTTCCATACACTGGCAGCTGTTTTACGTGTAGTATATAAATGGAAAACTTGTAGTTTGGGGCAGGGTTCTGTGAACTTGACTTTAAACATAATCACAGAGGGCTTTTCCTCCTAAACTCCAGCTCCATGCAAAATGTGAGCTCACCCACTTCACTATTAAGGAAAAACTCAAAGAAAGACCAGGGAGGGTCAGGTAATTTGCTTTTAGTAAAGATTTTCCAGGAGAGGAGACAAATATTTAGTTATATTTCAACTGTAATGTTTAGGTTTTTGCTTTTTTTTGGGGGGGGGAGGTATCAGTCTGACAAAATTACAGCCATACACAAGCAATGAGATCAACTAATGATATCGAAATTGCTTCCTAAAAACCATTGCTAACTTCAAAATAAAACTCCAAACAAATGATTTTGTGACCAGGCATTTTGAAGGATTTGACCATTACCACAAACTTGAGATTTAAAATTTTGCACTGATATACCTTTACAGATTTATTTTTAATTATGCACATGTGTGTAGGGGAATATTTGCAGGTCAGTACAGGTGCCCACAGGTACATGATCCCTCCAGGGGTTAGAGTCCCAGGCAATTGGAACCACCTAGTGTGTGGGTGCTGGGAACTGAGCTGAGGCTCTCTGAAAGAACAGTGCCTGTGGACCCTTGACTGCTGAGTCCTCTCTCCAGCCCCCCTGCCAGGACACTCACTTTTAATTTTGAGCATAAATCAAAATGGCATTATAATAATGTTTATATAATAGCATAATATATATTATATAATAACACATATATAATATAAT